TTTCGTTGTCAGCAGGAGGCAGTAGATGTCTAACCGCCATTCAACATGATGCATCTCAGCGCTGCGAATGTATCATGCGCAATTTTATGATCGAAGAGTACCGGATCACAAAATTATTCAGCCATGTGAGCACTTATACCCGAATGCCACGTTTTGGGCACAATGGATAGGATGTAGTGGACCAGTCCCTCGACCACCCCGATCTCCCAATTTATTGAGCCTCGATTACTTTTTATAGGGACATCTGAAGAATCTTGTTCATGCGATTCCACTTGATTAAGATGAGGATTTCATTGCTCGAATACCCGAAACTGCTGCACGTGTGCATGAAATACGTGGCATCTTTGAACGTGTGTGCCAATTGCTCCACCGACGCTTTCAAGCATGTATCACTACTGGTGGATGCAGTTTTGAACAGTTTTTGTAAACATTACACTTGTCAATGATGATTTCAATAAACAGTTGGTCTTTCCTTTGGTCTCTATTTTTTGTGCCTCAGCGCTTCATTAGCGCCCATACATTCCTATACAGTAAATGATTGTTACAATGTCCTGTACCTACCCTTAAAGTTTGTACCATGAATTTAGTACCACCCTGTATTTTCGAGTTCCTCAGACATTGTATTGAAACCAGACCAATTTCGTACCCAATTATAGAACCTCGCATTTACGTAATACGTCATGCACTCGCAAATAATCGTGAAACTACTACTTTCGCGGGCTCCATTCTGGAGATCGCTGTCCCTTGGGGGGTATAGTAATAATAAGTTTTACCTGAGAACTTATTAAGTTACAAAATTATTTTAAGTCTGAATTTGACTTATTCCAAGTTTTAGCCCATGTCAGCTGTAATGGTAATTGACACTATTTTTAATATTAAGAAGCATACAGTGGAGTAACGTACAGTCGCGCAACCTCTCAGGATTCTAGGGGGCCCAAAGCCTATGTTATGTTATGGTTTTGCAATTTTTTGTAAGATACGGCTAGGGGCCCCAAACCTAACTTGGTCTAATGTTCTTCGTACGCCACTGAGAGCATATATCTCGTCGTCAATTTTTCATGTTTATTTATATTCATTAATCTCTGTTGGTTGTATATCTAGGAACTACGTTGTGTACAGAACTAGAAAATGTAATTTAATCCCTCCCTAGTATATTTGCATAAACAATTTTGTGATAAGAATTATGCTCCATAGAAAAAGTAGAATCTAAAGTAAAGGAAAAAATCGCGGTGCCTATAAATTGATAAAATTAACCCCCCCCCCCCATGAAAACAAAACGAAATTGGATTTAGTTCTTCATATTTTATTCAAATTCAACGTCAGTTTTAAATTAATTTTTTGTAGCTATATAATTTACACTTGACTTTTTTCTACACTGTTTTGGAATGACACAGTCAAAGAACTGTGTGTGTTCTCTCTCTCTTTTTTTCACATCTCTGGAGAATGAGGGCGAAACACATCTTAATTGGTGGTAAACTGTCTGAAGTGCTGAATCAGAACGCTCTTTTGATGTGTAGATTTATTTAGGTCAGGAGTGGACAATTGTTTTGGCTCGAGGACCCCGTTATGGAACAGGAGGATACCGAAGCACTGTACCTTTTTTTTAAATGATTACATTTATTAATTAATTTTGTATCGCAGAAAAGGTATAAGTTGTACCATATATACTGTGCTGTTTGTAAAAAAATTCAACACCGTGAAGGAATTCTCAGAATTAAATGAACTTTGCAGCAAATATCAATTATAGGATGTTACGTAAAATAGTAAAGTTTCAGAGCCACCGCGTATGCGTGGCGTTCGCAGCGCCCTCTGAACTGATGCTGAAAACGTATAAATAGAGGGCTGTAGTGGGAAGTTGGAAATAGTGATAACTTAGTGTGCCTCCACGACGAAATAAGGAGAAATTTCAACAACTTACGGAGTTTGAATGGGGGAGGATTATCGACCTTCGAGAAGGAAGATTTTCCTATCGCGCAATAGGAGCTAGTGTGCAGAGGAATAGTTCCACAGTGATGCGAGTTTGAAAGCAGTGGACCGACGAGCACCGAACAACTCGAAAAACTGGCAGTAAACGACGGAAGGTGACGTCAGCGCGCAACGATCGGCACTTGCATGGCGGTGAATGATGAATGACCGTACAGCTTCCTCCAGGCAGTTTGCATCACGTTGGTCGACTGCTACAGGAGTACTAATGTCGGCTTCGTCAATTCTTCGACGTCTGCTGCACCGTGGATTGCGTGTAAGGGTGCCTTTATACATGATTCCCCTCACGGTTAACTATCGACGGCTGTGTTTGCAATGGGCTCGTGAGCAAAGAGCCTGGCAATCTGATTGGCAACGAGTTGTCTTTTCAGATGAATCACGCTTAAATTTGTGGGACCATGATGACCGCATTCGTATTAAACGCTATACCGATGAACGCTGCCTTCCAGAGTGCGTTATCGAACGACATAGTGGCCGAACACCCGGAGTTATGGTTTGGGGTGCGATTTCGTATCATGGACGATCCAATTTGCTACGAATTGTGAGTAATCTCTATAGCAACAGGTACGTCCGTGAAGTGCTACAGCCCGAAGTCGTTCCCTTCCTTCAAGGCATCCCTGGAGCTATTTTTCAGCAGGATAATGCACGTCCTCATGTTGCAAAGACTGTTCGAGACTTCTGTTCAGTCCAACACATGCAACTTCTTCCTTGGCCTGCTTATTCGTGGGATGTCACCTATTGAGCACGTGTGGGATTTGGTTGGTCGGCGTCTCGCTCGTGATCCGCGTCCTGCAGCTTCAAAAGACGAACTTTTGCTGCGCATACAAACAATATAGAATTCTCTTCCACAAACAGACATTCAAAATCTGTTTGACTCCATGCCACGTCGTATAGCAGCACTTATTGCAGTGCGTGGTAGCTATGCCAAATACTGATTTCGGACACTTAATATTGTTTTTTTGCTTTGAAAATTTCGTCATATATTTGTACTTATACAAGTCGTTTGTGCATTAAATTTCATTTAATTCTGATAATTCCTTCATGTTGTATTTTTTACAAACAGCAGTTTATATAATGCCGGATTTCATACTTTGCCGGTATATCGTACTATGTAACATTCAATAAATATAAGTTAAAGAAAATGTTTCATTATTGTCATCTTTTATTTTTAATTTCTTGTATCTCTTCTCATGACCGAGTGCATCAAGCGCTCGCCATACTTGAGATTAAACTGCAGCAGCACCGGGAGTGGTCAGTGCGCAGGGGGGGGGGGCCCTCCTCACAAACTACCCAGTTGCCCTTTTCTACCTCTCAAATTTTTCGCCCCTACTGGACATTCGTCTCAACACCATTCACACCCCCGACTTAGGCAGACATTATCCTCACTTCCCAACAGCCAATAGGAAGACTCGCTCTCCATCCAGATTCTTCACTGCAAAAATCCATCGAAATGACAATATTCCTTCTCTTTTCGTTCGCTGTTCAGCGACACTCCCTCCTGTCATCACTACACGATTCAGCAGTGTTTGTCCTTCCCCTTTATTTTAACATCATATACCACGAGCACCACGGCATTAATTGCTTTTACTCTCCATTTTATCTTCCAAATTCTGTGTCTACTTTCTGATTTCGTTCCGCAAAAGAAAGGACGAATTAGAAAAGAGCACAGATTTCTGCCACCTCCCTCCGGGATGGTGCCTCATTAAATATGTTTCCATACTTGCCAATTAAATTGTTTCTCGCTCTCACCGGTAGTATGTCCTCAGCTACAGGTGAGAAGCTTTCTTTTTTAGAACGGCTCTGAGCTGTTGTTAATAATTTTGATAGCTTCTTTTAAATTTTATGGAACTTTCAATTAATTATTCTGTTTTTTCTTATTATGATGAGAGGGTAATACCGTTTTTTTGGTAAGGTACCTCGTATTTTGGATGTCAAGATCCATGCCTCGAAGTCCCGCCTACCGGCCCGCCGCCGCTCGTCCAATAGCAATACTCCACATCTCAACATGAAAACTCAACTTAAAGCCAAGTCACAAAAGAGACATTAGCCAGATACGGGATTTAGGGTTCTTTGAAACCCAGATGCCCGCACGAATTCCCGTAGTTAAAGAAAATAGTGGCAGTTTTATTCAATTTATTTATTGTTGATTTCCATATCTATATGAAAGCACATCTAATTTTAGAATCAATTTAATGAGACAAATGTACTCTATCACATTTTTATACATTTTTTCCGAAATCTTGAGTGAGATTGCTTGTTGAAATTCTCATCACAACATCAGGTTAAGTCAGCCAACTTACATCTCTTGTTGATCTTCATTTTAGCAAAACTTTGTTCACTATAATATATATTGACTCAAATATAGAAAACATTTTCTTCTTTTTTTTTTATGACTACTTAGTTTTCTGATGATCTGGGTGGGTCGAAAAAAAAAACTCTATAGGTCGCTATTTTCCCACTCCTGACAGGTTACTGAGAGAGGTGAACCTTTCCTAATTCTAATTGTATTAATGTTTTTCTCTCATACCAAACTTTCAAAACACAGTTTATTGCGTCCACTAAATAGAGTTCTTTATTTCAACTGGTGCAATTTTTAGAATAACATAGAAGACTTCTCTCTTTTTACTATAGTAATTGTATTTTGTAGTTTTTTGACTTGCTAACCGTGCAGAAAAAGTTGGGTGCTTTGTATTTTATCTCAAATTCTGAAAAAAAAAAACCCGTGAAAAATTTATTTAAAATATTGTTTTTTTTTAATACCAAATTTAATTCAAAAAGAAAAACTATATATATATATATATATTCAAATTTTCAATCGTGAATAAAATACTTTCTATTCATCCATTCAAGTGCAAATTCCTTTTTTTTTTTTTTTTTTTGAAACTTGTAGTAGATGGTACTTGATGTTAATAGTTTTTTAAAATGTTAATTCATTAATTAAATTAAAAAATGAATAAATAGTAACAAACAAAAATAATAGTCCAACAGCATATATAGAAAGGAAAATCGCTCTTTGTGTCCCTGTAGCGCAATGGATAGCGTGTAAGACTTCTTATCCTAAGGCCGTGGTTTCGAATTTCACCTGGGATGGTCTATTTTCTGAGATTGTGATTTCATTTTTACTTAACTATCTTATTAGAATAATTAAATTTAATTAATGAATAAATAGTAACAAACAAACAAAAATAGCTCATTTATAGAAAGGAAAATTGTAAGGGAAAAATTCCTTTCTCTTTTTAGTTACTTAATATTGTGATTCTGTCATATGTATATACATATTTATATTAATTGTAACTATTTAATAAAAAGTTACTAAAATAAATTTTTCTTTGTTTACCTAAGTAGGAATTGACTTAAATTTTTTTTTAATATATTGTTTTTTAAATTAAAGAAAAGATCATTTTCAAATTAGGTCTCAATTAGATCGACGTCTGGTTCTCAGGGAATTCTTGCTAATTCTAGTAAAATGCGATTCTGAAAAGTATTTGGCCAGGCATTAAGAATCGCAAATTCTCCATGAATTAATTGATTTTTATCTTCAAGGATGTTGGAAAAAAATTATAAGCACGAGCTATAAAAAAATAATATATCGTTATATTGATTTTTCAACGTATCATTATCATTGCAATTTTAATTATGAACTTTCTCTCCATCGGTGATTATTTTTGAAATTCCCGATAATATTCAGGAGAAAAAAAATCGCGTGGAAGTCTTGTGTTAAAAAAATGATTGTAGCTCTCATTTATTCTGTAAAATAATAAAGTTGCAATCTCTTCAAATGCCTTTCATTTTGTTTTGAATCCAACCAATGGCGTATGTGTACTTACTGTTCCTAACAATAACAAAAGAAACAGATGTCACAGCGGTCGCGAGATAAGACAGTTTTTATCAATTTTGCCATTCAGTATGAAGTCAGATAAAACGATTTTAAGAGCACGTTATTTTTTGGAAAATATATCGTGTATGATTATCACTTTTTTGAAGTGATGAAAGCATATTTTGACTTAAAAAAAACTGCTTTTGTTAATAATATAAAATTAAACTATATAGTTTTGACATTTTGTGATATTGGATGTATATTGTGTTTGTGTGAACGAATAAATTTTATTCTTTTCTGTAGATCCTGGGTAGCTTCAAATGTGTGTAAATTAAATAAAATATAAAAATGATTGCTTATATGGAATGCTGTCCCTTGCACATAAACCAATCGTTTTCCACAATGCTTTGATTAGATCCCGTGCAACTTCAAATGTGTGTAAATTAAATCAAATATAAAAATGATTGCTAATATGGAATGCTGTCTCTTGAACATAAACCAATCGTTTTCCACAATGCTTTGATTTTCAATCATTTTTTAGTCACTAAATTTTCCAACCTTTTTTCTCCCCACTTGCAGTACAATCACCCTCTGAATTAAAGCGTCACCGTGAAACTAATTTTATATATTAAAATAATTTTTTACATTTTGCTGTATACATACATATAGATGACACTTTTAATACTTATCCGTTTTTTAAAATTCGAAAATTATATATTTTTTTTTCACACTTCGTGTTAAAAACGTATTATCAGCCGTCACAACGAAACATATGTTCTTACTTTTCTCACTAGTTAGCTATAATTATCTGCTAGTGTAGTGATTGGTTTAAATACGTCCCGGAACCAGGGACGTCTTAAGGCATGGTCCAGCTAGGGCCATGGCCTCGCCCTAGGTAGGGGCCTTGTTTTGTTCTCAACTCTGTCATAATAGGATCGTGATCAGGATAATTTTAATGGTCAAACATAATTCTCATACATATTTCCTGAAAAATGGGGAATTTCAAACAGCATGTCAACTGGCAAAAGTGGTTAGACTATTATTATGTGATGACCGTTGTCAATGCCTAGGCCTAATATCAAAAACAATCATTCTACTCATTTAGTCGAAATGCAGCCATCGGTCCAGCCGGTTTGTGCCTAGGTTTTTGAGATAGTGAGTCGTACACATTTATTTGTTTCAAATTACCGTTTGAATCATAATATGACAGTGCATGCTATATACTGTCTCCTTTGAAAGGTAGGGCCTATTTTTGCATAAAGTCTGAATTTTTCTGGGCCCAGGGCCTCAAAGAGTTAAGACGTCCCTTTCCGAATCTTGGACTGATCGACGTGAAATCTGCGCTAATTGTATGTTAATATTCGGATTATAATCCTCCTACCTTCAACGTAAATATTTTGATTCTGAAAAATCAGTTTTGAGAGGCCTTAAAAAATCGCCGTTCACAAACCCCTTGGCCTGTCTTAAAATGTTGGTTTTTATTTGTTTTCGGTTGTGTCTACCAGTACCTTTGTGAGGCTTAGGGGTAGCAGCAACCTACCAAGATGCAGTGTGGCTGTGAATCTCACCCTTAAAGCAAAATGGATTCTACTGTTTTTCGGTGACAGAACAGCCTCTGGTGTAATGCGTATCAATACATTTTAGGCATTGGCGTTGCTAGTTCTGAATGGGCCCTGTATCAAAATTCATTGGAGGCGTTTTGGGGGCCTCTTACGATTTTTACTTGCACACGTTGGGACCCCTGAGACTTGCGAGCCCCGTATCATAGATACGGTTGCTACGGTGATAGCTACGCCTCCGATTCTAGGGATATGGGCGCGAGAGGGCAATTTTCTGCTGAATGGTGGAAATTAATTGCATGCAAGGAGTTACGTTACCTCTCTCCCACATTGTACCTTCCCATTTGAACTAAGAGTTTTTGTGAGTTTCTGTTACCTATTTTAGAGGTAATATAGTTAGAAAAACAGTTATGGAATTTTTATCCCGTCTGTCTGATTCACTTTTTAGACAACTAAACTCTTTTCTGTTAGATCTTGCTTGACTTCATCTGTTTGAGTCACGGGGGATCCCCTTAATGGCTTTTCGGCTAATTTCTTTGTTAAGCCTTTCGACTAAAAGTTTAATGACATATTGTGGATTTACAAATAAGTTAGACTTCCATACTCTTCTTTAGTATCCGTTTAAAGTTTAATGTATTCCCTGGATAAGCAGTTGGGATTTTTCCTGTTAGTTTTTAGTTGAGTTCTATAATGTGTTGTCATTTTTAACATAACCGATGGTGGTAAAAATTTGAGTATTATTGTTTTCATTTTTAAGGGGTGCTGGGTGCGTATGAGGCTTAGTACTGGTTTTGAGACTTCTATTTCTTTACTGTTATTTACATTCTTGTTTAAGTTCTCAAATCTATTTGCTGCTGGAATATAATGCATTTAAGGAATAATAGGAAAGCTTGTGACTGTTCTTTTGGATAAGACGAAGCCATTTGTTTTGTTCTTATGAGTTTACTCCTTATACGTATTAGAGTCGTCAGATTAGTTCGGGAAATTAAGAACTTTTAAATCATTAGTATATATAAGGCAAGCAGGAGCAAACATGGGTTTTCGTTATCTGTAGACAATTACATTGGCCAATACTTGAAATTGGGTTAGTGTCGAGGCTCGTGAGTTGGCAGAAGTGCGAGAAGAATTTGAGGTTGCTGAATTACATTCTATTTTTCAATCCGCGTCAAAAAATCTAGGAAAGTGGAATAGTGTAGAAACATTCTTGGGAATCTTTTTTATATTGAGTTAAAAAAAAATCATACTAATTTAATGATTTGAACATAAAATTATAGCATGGTTGTCATGGTAACTTATTTTTAAAAGCCTAAAAACCTTTAAGTTTAATTTATTGAGCGTCTGATAAGTTCAAAGACTTTGCATGAATAAAAAGTCTAGAAATTTTGAATCGTGTTTTGGATAATGAGATTGATATTTGAGCGGGTATTATTTTACTGACCATGCTTCGCCAAAAAAGGTCTGTGATACAAGATATTTAACAGACGTCAATTTCTGTTGGAGGAATGTTTCTAGCTTAAAATTCATCGGCGTTACTAGTCCTGTGGGGTTCTGTATCAAAATTCCTCGGGCGTCCTTTTTTTTGGCACCCCTTAACATTTTACGACACATGATATCCAATGGTAACACATGTTGCGGCCCCAGTAGCTTGGAGACTCCGTATCATTGATCGGTGGCAGCAACACCCCAGTTAGAATTACTTTTCAGAAGAAAAGTAATTCTAACAGGGTCGAATCTTACCTACCTTATTATACTTTTATCAAGTTTCGCGTGATAAATGTGAACACGTGTTTACCTTTATCATGTGATCATTACGTCACATGAATTTATTAACTAATTGGCAAGAAACGCGTGATTGCACTTTCATATGACTATGATATCATATGATTTTAGACCATTGCAATCAAATTTGGTATATAGTCCTTGCACACTTTTCTTGCAGTGTAATCCACATGCATCAAATAATTTTTAAAAAAAAATAAATTTTTTTATTTTTGAAATTTTTCGAGCACATTTTGTATATAGTCATAAATCAGATTTGGTGGCAATCCATTCACCTGTTTATCGAGGAAATTTTAATCAACCATTTTGAAGTCTAAAATTCTATCTCTTGATAATGGAAATATGAAATCGATACCTAAAACGCAAATTACCCAGTATTGATAACCTTAAAACTTTGAGAGGATTTTATGTTTTTATTTTAGTATTTTTATGCATTTATTTTCGGTTTCATTGTGTTTTTAAATTTGCTTATCTTCATGAAGAAGACATAAGTATGAAGCGAAACTAGTGATAAAAGAACAACTGTCGACCGTGTAACAGCGACTGCCCCACTTTTTCACGTTACGTTTAACTTTACTGACTGTAATGATTGACTAAACATTTTCTTACTTAATATTTTTAAATAAAATAAAGTACCGTAAAATCCAGCGTATAACGCGCATCTATACTTTCAAACTGTATTTTTTAGTTTTTAGGTATAGTCGCCATACAACGCGGACTCTCTTTTTTACGAAGAAACCTGAAATGTACGTGTGAATGCTCTTATATTTTGAAGTCGTATTCGAAGTATTATCCCAAGTCTATTGAAAAAATAGTTTACTTTTATAACTACTACACTTTATAACAAGTCCATAATGTATGTCATTTAAAAAAAAAAAACAGTATCTCGATATATGTAGAAGTCTATTTTTTTTATGTTCATATTTTTTTTTTAA